ACGAAGCAAGATAATCGCAGATCCAACCTTTAATTGTAAATTATGCGGTGGCATGCCTGGTAAATCCAGTGAGTTCAAAATCTCTGTGGGAAAATTTACTGCTTCTCTGTCGTCGCAAACTGTATCAATAGATTTACATGATACCAAGTTCCCTGGTTCTACAACATTTGTATCTTCAGATTTAAATTGTCAACGTCTACATTTTTTGCCGCTAAAATTGCTCTTTCTGCAAGCCACTCATGATTTATGTACTGTGTGTGTACATCGGGAAATATTTGTTCAATGAGAGTATCTTGCGAATCAGCGATTGTGCAGAAATCGGTCGGTAATTTTACGTATCCAGTTTCATCTATAGCAACTTTTCCATCACCGATATCTAAGAGTTGTTTTGAAAATGTTTCAGCAGATGGATGTTGAAGCATTTGAACGCGCATATTTACTTTCAGCTGTACTTTTTCAACATTACGCCACAATGGAGATGATTTTAAGCAAGCGTTGATCTCATCAGCGTATGTTGAACGTGGAATGACTGGAAGTGTTTGCCTGAAATCACCTGAAAGGACCAACAGAGTTCCGCCAAATAGATTGTCGTTGTTTTTAATATCTTTCAATGTCCTGTTCAACGCCTCAAGCGAATGTTTGTGTGCCATAGTACATTCATCCCAGATGATAATTTTACACTGTTTCAGCACGGTGGCCATGGACGATTGTTTCTTAATGTTGCATACTGCGTCAGGGTTATTCTGAATATTTAGTGGCAGCTTAAATACTGAATGAGCTGTTCTGCCTCCATCCAATAAAGTTGCTGCAATGCCCGATGATGCAACGGCCAATGCGATGCCATTATTTGATCGTATTTCAGCAAGAATTAGCGAAATAACGAATGTTTTGCCAGTTCCACCCGGTGCATCCAAAAAGAAGAACCCACCTTGTCCAGCTGAAACTGCGAGCATTATGCGATCATAAACGGTTCTTTGTTCCTCATTCATTAGTGGGACATTGCGGGCAACAATCGCTGCCATTTCTACAGTGTTGTACTGCAGTTCACGATTCATTTCAGTATTCATTAAATCAGATTCAGTTCGATTTGGCGAAATCATACCGAAATGACTGAGTGGTAAGTTGGCAATGACAATGCAAAGATCCTCAATAGCAATTAATGCTTCATTGTACATTGCGTCGCTGAATGTTATGGTTAGATCGTGGCACCGTGTACGATGTTGATGCAATATATCATCAGTCATTGAATCTTTGTGATTATCCCACAATATCTGTGCTCGGGCTGAGAAACATGTAGTCAACACTATAGCGAATAGTATAGACGAATTTGTACTGCTGTACAGTTCAATGCAGCTTCAGCAAGCANCCATTTTATGATAAACTTGGCCTCTGATTTTGAATGTAGAATTGTATTGTTGACCATTTGCATTAGTATTTCGAACTATTTCTGTTGCTCCGAACGATGTCATTTGAAAGCATGAATTGAATGTTCGAATTGACTTCAGGAACACGTTAGAATCTGGATCCGTGCCGATAAGTAAACCGTTCAATGGTTCAGATGGTGTTTCAATTTCAGGTAGTTGCACTTTTCCTGACGCGCAACACATCCCAGCTGGCTCATTTTTGAATTTCAGAGCATGACAATGCGGACATTCCTTGTCCATAGCACCAATTACCACTTTTGAATGAGCATAATATTCAATATCGGGCTCATACTGGAATGCTAGACGCAGGAATGAATCAGATGTAAATGCTCGATGTACCTGTTGTCGTTGTTGGTCATTTGTTCTGCGTCTATTGACTGTGAAACGGCGTGATTGTCGTTGTTCTAATCTTATTACTTCATTGCGTTCAGCTCGTGTGTCTTCTGACTCTTCTTGACGCAATTGCGCCATTCTGACACGTGCATCAGTATTTTGTTGCTGGATTTGTTCTTCGGTTCTTTCGGATCTTCTATTTCGCAAGCTTCGAGATTTACTTGTATTACGGTTCAAATCAGCCCCTTTGCGTTTTGTTGGCATTGAAATATATGCAAAACACACGTACATAGGTTAGGTTAGGTTAGCAAAATTAGCCAAATCGGCCCAGCCGTTCTCAATTGTTATTGGCACGCGGGTGCCAAGGAAACCAATAATAAAAAATAACCACATAGAGTGTATATTTTCTCTCCATGGCAAAATAATAATTGTTGAATATCGTGCGTGCTAGTATACTTTGACTTAAGAGGCCATAACTCCGGAACCACTTATCGCAGAGCATACAAACTTAGATAGTAGCCGATTCTCAGACCTACTGAATATGCATATAAAATTTCATGAGAATCGATCAAGCCGTCTCGGAAAAGTATGGGAACGAACATTGTGACACGATAATTTTATATATAAGATTACTTTGTTTAATTAATATTATAGCTGTTTTATAGATTTTATCGGTTATACTGTATTTTTTTTTTTTTTAAAAAAAGTGTTCCCACCGAAAACAACTTCGAAGAGAAAATTTACTCCAGTGTATTAAGTGTAGCACTTTTTTCGAAAGGAAATTTTATCTAGTCGGTGTATTAAAGAGATCATTTTTTCGATTTAGGGGTTGTTGATTTCTAGGTTACCTTGGTAACAGAGGAAAAATTACCTATATAATTACCTAAATATTAATTAAATATCTATCTGCTCAGAATCGTTTTTCGTTGACTAACAATAGTTTATCATCTATTTTCCAACTTTCCTCCTAAAACAGTTTCACACCCAGCAGTTTCGACTTTTTTTAATACTTTATGACATTATTTACATAATAACACATAATATAGTAAAGTGTAGGCAACTAAATCAACGCACATGATTGTATTTTTCGTCTGAAATATATTTTTTTATCGTTTAGTAAGTTACTATTGTTAACTAACACGTATGTATGTACGTTAACTAAACGCTATACAAGTGGCGTAAGTTGAGTGGATTTTTCGGGGTCTCAACAGTTTTTAATGTTCAAAAACTGTTGGGATTATATATTGTTTTTAAAATTTGAATTTCGGACATACTTGCACGGTTTTCTTGTTGATTTCCGGTTGAATCAGTTTAACGAACAATATAAATCTAAAAAAGTCGAACATACCTCACATCGTGATTAGGCCGTTGTTGTAGGTGGGAATTTGAGAAGCTATAGAATATAGAGTGGTTTAGATTATTTACTAAAAGAAACGAATAATTGTTCCAACCGAAAAATGATTCAGAGCGATGCTAATATGGTAGTATTATAATATGGATCTAATGTGGTAGAATTATATTCTTAATAATGTTTATTTTTCTTGTAGCCAAGGTAATCCAATCATCGACAAAAATATTATGATTTTTATGAAAAATTGTGATGAATTAAAAAAAATGTGTTTACTAATGTACCGCTGAGTGGAAATTTCGCGTCTATTAAATTCAACAAATATTTCAAATAAAGAACGATCCGTAGTTATTACGTCAGGCCGTAGTCATTTGATTTCCGTTGACAAATGAAACATAATAAATAGAATTTCGTTTTTATCATTATTTTATCGTGTTTTTAAAAATACTCGTAGAGGCCTGAATGTTCACAATGCACTTAACTCAGCTTTTCTGAAGGTGGTTATATTTTCAAAACGGTCTGACGATTTTCGAGCTATTTTCATGCTTGCTGCATACGCCGTGTTTTTTTTTTTTTAGTTTTAGGTATGGTACGTTCGGCGGGTTGGATGTGGATACGATTGTTTGATCAAACAGAAACGCTTGACAATATTCCACGCAAGGTTCGTTATTGGGTTTTTATCGTGTATATTATTACCGACCGAGAATCAACCTGTAAAATAGTAATTTTCTAACGGAGTAAAAACAAAAAAAACACAAACAAAACTCGGCATGATGAATACATATTATATATTTAAAAAAAAAAAAAAAAGGGGGGGGGGAAATCAATTATGTATATAAGGAAACGTATAAAATTGGCTATATAAATTTAAATAATTACATTTAAATATTATAATATTTATATTAGTATCTAGACATATATATATATATATATATATATATATATATGTATGTGTGTATGTATTAAATTTTAATGTAGTTTAACCTCGAAAATGTTATGACTAGAGATCAACAAAAAAAAAAAAAAAAAAAAAAAAAAATAATAATGTATATATATTTATATAAGTCATAAAAAAAAAAATGTAAAAATAAATAAATAAATTAGGTATATAATAGTAATAATAATAATAAAAATAATAATAAAATAAAAAGGAAGTCTTTGTTCGTGTATCAGATTAAAATCTCGTTCTTTTAATACTGACCAATAATTAATAAAATAATATACTATTACAAAATAATAGGCCTTTTCGTTATTTGTGTTTTCCAGGCACGCGGACGCTTATTATTTGTATAATTAATCGAATGGAAAAAAAAAAAAAAACAAAATGTACAAAAACAAATCAAATAAAAATCAAAACAAAATTAAATTGAACACACACAAAAACCGACTTAGATAAGCGACTCGACTGTTATGATTACTGCACGGGATGATCATTTCGGGTACGGGGCATGCGGGGATCCGAATGCCCCCGAAGCGGTTTTCCGTCTGAAAATGACCGCGACATTTAATATTCTACCCGCGCGCGCGCGCGTAGAGACACCGCGGTGTGACAAATAAAATCTCGAACAATTTCCGTTACGACGAGTCGACAGGAAAATTGACTCGAAATACGATCCCGCGCAAAAAACCGCCCCTGATTAATATTACGGTTTGAGTTTCGTCGGAACCACATCGTCGCCCCGGTTAATATAATAGAAATTAATAAAATAATAATAAAAATAATAATTGATTAATAATATTAGGGACGTAAAATTTAAATATTTTTTTTTTTTTTTTATGTTTATTATTTTTATTTTTTTCTTTCATAAACTACACGCGATTATTGATAATATAATAATAATAAAAATAATAATTATTATTAATCGATTGATAATAATGCGAAACGATATCGTAAGTACTGTTCGAGAAATCCGCTATGGAGTGCGGACGAACCACCGGTTTATCATGATTATTTTTTTTTCGCGGTCGACATTTGCCGCACCAGATTATCGCCGCCGCCCACCCAGCC